CAAGAAAAGAGGAACAATTTTGTTGATGTCTTTTATTCCATATACGTTTACCAATACACATTTTCCAAAATATTTCACCCTTCCCTAATTTAGGATAGATTTTGTTATTGGGGATTTAGTAGGAACTAGAATCCTATTGGAAAGGATTTTTGAACAGTTGAGATGACTCTCAGAACCAAAAGAAGAAATAAAGCAAGGTAGAAAATAGACCCTTATTAGACTAAAAAAATTACTGATAATGTCAGCATGGAAAATGGAAACTGTATTAAGCAGCATAACTATTATGATTAATAACCAATCACCAATAGCCATTATGATGCTTTTGCTTTTAAGGAAAATCTTGAAACTTGGTACTTACCATTATTAGTTTTATAAGGGCTAGCTATGTCTCTCCAGAGCAGAACAACATCAATCCAGAACACTTTCAGGACTATCACCAAGACATTAATAAGCATTAACAATATACTACATCCTGCAACTATGTAGTACATGCTCTGACGATTAACTATCAAAAGACAGGGAAAAGACAAAAAACAATCATTATTGTAACCATAACAAGGCAAAAGAAATGCATACATGTTTGTCTCCCTGGGGAATACAAGAGTTTCACACCCAAGATGCTCATCTGAAATTTTCATGGCCACTTTAAAAAAAGTCAGTCAACTGAGCCAGGTGCCCGTGACTCATACCTATAACCCTAGCTACTCAGAAAGCTGAGATTTGCAATGCAAAGCCAGCCTGGGCAGAAAAGTTCATGAAACTCTTATCACAATTAACCACCAGAAGTTGGAAGTGGAGCTGTGGCTCAAGTGGTAGAGTGGTAGCTTTAAGAAAAAAAAAGCTCAAGGAGAATGCCCAGGCCCAGAGTTCAAGCCCCAGGATTGAAATCAAGAAATTGAAAATAAAAAGTCAGTAAACTGATATTTATTGAGCTCCCAACACTGTACAAGGCACCAAATTGGGCATTACAAAAGACACTCAAAGGCAAAGCAGACACAAGAACAAGTGCAAACTTAGCCAAGGTGGTGCAGAGAAGCAAGATTTCAGCTAGTATAGGCATTTCTAAAGAGCACTTGCTCCATGATGGATGGGAAAGGACAGGAAAGGAAAGAGGTCCCTAAAGAACATGCAGAATTCAGGGGGATGGAGAGAAGAAAATAAACCACACTTCCCAGAAAGGATGTCATGAGTAGAAGTGAATGTGTTTTCTGAGGAACTGGATTAACTCATTTGGGGAATTAGTAAAAGAAAAAAATGTGATGACAAAGGGAATGAGGACTAGGTTTGATAAGACTTGAAATGATTGGTAAAGAATTTTCCCTATGCCGAATGTCACAGAAACTGAAGGAGAACTTCGAATGGAGCATTAAGAATGTAAGTGTCTTTCATGTAAGATTCATTTGATGGTAACAGATGGAAACAGACCACAGGTTTCTGAGAAGAAAGAGGTGTTTTGGGAGCACATTATGAGGAGAATATGAACTTACAAAACAAGGAGGAAGGAATGGACAAGCCTGGTGTGTGTGGGGAGTCGTAAGGAAAATGAATCTGTAGATTCAGGTTAGTTTCTGCATCAGAGGCTGATGGTATGACAGCAAAGAAGCTAAAAATCATAGAAGTCTCTGAGCACATTAGATGAAGAAGTCAAATTGCTAAAATCTAGGTCCTACCTAGATTTCCTGATGGTGAACAGAACAAATAAAATACCGATAGACTAGAATATACAAAATCACTCCCCCATATACCAGGTAAGATGAACACCATCCTAGAACATAGGTAAGTAGAGAACATTCATCAGTGATAACCAATGCACAGACCAAAGATGATGACATACATGTCATGCTGGGTGACAAATTCCACCCAGTGTGTGGCTTTCCTTTTCTGCAGGATCCTTTGCCCACCACCAGCTACAGTGTGTTTACAGGTCCACAGCCACTGAACTTCATCCTGGTATTCTTTGCTTCACAAAATGCATATGTACCATGACTTGCATCCTCATGGACTTATAACAGATATGTACAAGTTGAACATCAGAATCTTGGTTATTGTTCCACATTTACATCCATTTCTGACCTATTAGCTAGATTATCTTAAAAATGGTGCTGTTAAACCAAGCACTCGTGTGTAATCCTAAAACTATTCAGGAGACTGAGATTTGAAGCTCATGGCTCAAAACCAGCAGGAAAAGAAGGCCAATGGAACTTTTTATCTCCAATTAACCAGAAAAGATCTAAAAGTGGAGCTGTGGCTTAAGTGTTAGAGCACCAGCCTTGAGTGAAAAAGCTAAGGCCCTGAGCTCAAAGCCCTAGTGGGAAGGAAGGAAGGGAAAAAGGAAGGAAGGAAGGAAGGAAGGAAAGAAGGAAGGAAGGAAGGAAGGAAGGAAGAAAGAAAGGAAGAAAGGAAGGAAGGAGAAAAAAGAAAGAGAGAAATTGTGCTGCTTAAAGATAAATGTGAGGAGAACCTCAAATAAGAGTTGATCCTGCCAGGTGCTGGTGCATTAAAAGCAAATGCCTTGTCATCCTAACTACTCAGGAGGCTAAGAGCTGAGAATTGTGGTTCAAAACCAGCCCAGCCAGGAAAGTCCATGAGTCTCTTATCTCCAAATAATCACCAGAAAATCAGTAGTGGCACTGTGGCTCAAAGTGATAGAGAGCTAGCCTTGAGCAAAAGAGCTGAGATAGTGCCCAGATCCTGAGTTCAAACTCCATGACAGACAAGAAAAAAAGGGTAGGGGGTGGGGAAGGGGGAGGGAGAGGAGATGGGAAGGGATGGGAAGGGGAAACAAAGGAGCAGGCAACAATGCTTGATAAGAAATGTACTCATTACCTTGCCCATGTAATTGTAACCCCTCCGTACAGTATTTCCACAATAAAAAAGAATTGATTCTATGGTTCTTTTTTATTTTAATCTTGTTTCCAGGTTTAGAGTTCTCAGCTTTGATATCACTGGTCTGTATTTACAGTCTCCTCTTTTGACATAATTCAGCAGCTCTCTGAGGACCTGACATTATGAAGTCAAGAATAATCAGGGCAAAAGTGATCCAAAGGTGAGAGAAAGAGCTGAATGAAATGACTGAACTTTCTAGTTGACATTTTCCAGAGAAATTATCGAAAGTCCAGCCAAATGCATACAGAAAATGTACTTCTCAAAGGGACTGTTGAAACTCTGCAGGTGGCTGAATGATTTCAGCCAGAGGAAAGACATTTATTCAAGACAGTTGAAGTTCAATATCCACCTACATGTGAATGATTCAATGAATGTGTAAGTGATTTTAGACATTTGAATTCTAGCTTTATGACTGCAGTATTTGACAGGATGTACCACTCCTTGTCTTTGTTTTATCATCTATGAAATTACAAGACAGAAACATTCTCCATATTGTGAGTCTTGAGAAAATTAATGAGAGACTTCACTGTATAATAATTAGGCTGAACTTGGACATAGAAATAAATGCATGTCTGCATTATTATTACTATCATAAGCAACAAATGTTTATTTGAGAATATTTAATAATTAGAGACAAATGTATCAAAGTTCATTATTTAAATTCAACAAATGCAGCAATTTTAGAAATAAAGAAATTCATTGTGACAAACTGAGAAGTAACAGACAAATTTTGTTTAACATATACAATTGTGAAAACAGAGTACAATAATATGCACATGAACAAAAATAGGTGAAATACAAATAGACTAGAAAGTACAAAATCACTCCTCATGAACACAATTCAAGGACACAGATAAGTATAGAACATTCATCAATGATAACCAACATCCAGGGAAAGGTTGAAGACACACAGGTCATGTGAGTGTGGATTCCATCCAGTGTGTGACTTCCTTTTTCTGTAAATCAATATGTCCACTATTACCCACAATGTATTCCTGTAGTCTACATCCATCCTAGAGCAACAACATCATCACCAGAAAAGAAAAGCCGAATGCCCTACAAGATACAACAGTACTTAAAAATAGCATTAAAATGAGTCATACCTCCGTACAGGTCAGAGGGTTAAGGTCCAATATAAACAAGAAAAATCCCAAGCACCATCTCCAGTAGAAAGACTATCTAGGATCTTCTGAAACTGGTGATCTATTTCCTCTGCACTTCTTCTACAGTGTCTTAGGGTGTTTATCTGTACTTGACACAGGAGTATAAGCTCAGAGTCTTTCTGGCTAGTTGATAAAAACTAAATACTTTCGAGGCTGGGAAGGTGGCTCAGTGGTAGAGCGCTTGCCTTGCATGCGTGAGGCTCTGGGTTCGATTCCTCAACATCACATAAGCTATAAGAAAAAAGCTGGAAGTGGCGCTGTGGCTCAAGTGGTAGAGCGCTAGCCTTGAGCTGAAGAGCTGAGGGACAGCGCCCAGGCCCCGAATTCAGGCCCCATGACCAGACCCAAAAAAACAAAACAACACACACACACACACAAAAACTAAATACTTTCTACATATGTAATTACACTACCACAAAGGAGTAGTAGTGCAAATGACTATATTTTTTCTCTTCTCTCTTTTATTTTACAGAATGCATCATGTAACAAACAGATGACCACCTGGAAATACAAAGACCAGGCAAGGAGACTGACAAATGCCTGGGAAGGAAATGCTGCTGAAGCCCTTTCCTGTGTCAATGTCACAAACCTATCAGGAGGTGGGACAAAGGGTCAGGTTGCCCTTCTGGTAAGCAGTTCATCTCTAACATTGGTTAGTATTGCTGGGGTCTAGTAGCAAGAAAAAGAAAAAGAACTTCTGGATGGGTTTGTTACTATTTTGAAACCTATGTAGACCGCAAATTCCCTTGATACTTGCAACTAGAAGGATTGACAGAGGAAGCAGATGAAGGATGAAGAGGAGATGGCAAAAGAAGAGGAGGAGGAGCTGACAGGAGAAGAGGAGGAGAAGCAGGGAGAGAAGAAAGAGGTGCAAGAGAGAAGGAGGAAGAAAGGGAGGAAGAGGAGGAAGAGATGGAAGGAAGGAGGAGGAAACAGAGGGGAAGAAGGAAAAAGAGGGAGAGAGTCAAGAAGCTTCCTAACAAAGAATAATATTCTGAAAAGACCAGATTTCAAACACCATCTTGAAGAGGAAAAGTACATTTTATGACACAGGCCATTTTCTTCCTGATGACGAATCTTTCCAGAACCAAACCACAACCCATTTTCTTCAAAGAAACAAAGGTCAGCTTCCAGGTGACACAACAAAGTCTCAGACACACTCCTTACTTGGCTTTTTCCTTTGCAATTTTATGGTGTGCCTTTTCATGCCATGCAGATTCCAGGCCACACAGTCATACTCCCGGGACAAATCTTCTTCCCTCACTTTAGTTATCTTCAAAAACTTGTTTAGACAAGTTAGGTCATTGCTAGAACTGAGAAAGTAAGCATGTTACTTTGACTGTTTCCTTGGCATGTGCAAAGTGACAGAAGGGACAGAAATGGTTTAACTTCCACAAAAAATTACCTTTCATTTTGACCTTCCTCCTCTTGAATTCTTGCTTCACCCAAGCTCTGAACTTTGCGTCGGTTGATCTGCCACAGGACAAGAGCCACAGCCTGCTTGCCTTTCCCAAAGCAAGCAGTGCAGGTCACATTTATTGGTTTTCCTAGATGAAGAGTTAAAGAAATTCATCAACAAGCGGCAGTTAATTGCACGGAGTGTGAGAAAAGTTCAGGGGACACCTTCGGAGTTCTGCAATTCTTTCTGATTTCCTTTCTTACCTGTAGCACTCCATCTATTTGGTGCATGCTTTTCGTCTACTCTATGTCTCCTCATCCCCATTTTCATTTCACTCACTGTTAAGTTAGAATCACAGCTTTCCCCACCCACCCACCTACCCCTCACGTCAGGGAAAATCTTCACTGGTCCCTTCAATGACTTTCTCCTCCCACTGAATTGTCTTTCTCTTTCCATCAGCTACCATTTAGTGATCACCTCAAACTTGTAAGTATTCAAAAAGAGTACTCTCCAGCACTCCATCCCAACTCCTTGAACTTGAGACTTCTTCCTTGTAGAATTAAAAGCATCAGAAGAGTTGCTTGTTGACCACGCATTTGCATTCATTGGGTTATCCCTTCCCCAATCCTAGGTTCCTATGAGGAGCTTTGATAAGAATTGGGCATCATATTCCAGTTTGAGGAACCTCTGGGAGGTGACAATGGTATAAAGAGAGGTTTGGGGCACAAAGAAAGGCTAATGATGTATCATTGGAGAGAGGAAAAAGTTGCAGGGAGCATGGCTGTCACTCTACACATCAAAATAGTGTTCTGGACTTGAGATGACTAAGGAGTCTTGGATGTGATGCTCTGGCAGAGAAGGGTGAATAGAGAGAAATCGCATGGCAGTGGTGCTATTTGAGTGCAGTCTTGAGAGAGGAGGAGGAAAAACAACATGGGCAGAAGTAGGGCAGAGTATGAAAAGCACTGCCATCAGAGTGATACCATGTGACATGAGGTTGTATGGAAGCATGAATGGCTACAGATGGACCAGGACAGAGGCACAAGAAGAGCATGAGGATGCTTGTTTCACAGAAGAAGCCCTTCTCACTGCATCCTGCTTCCAATGACAACCCAGAAAGACAGAAATAGAAAGAGCCAGAAAGTCTGTCATTTTGTTCATTTTAGCCCCCTCTCTCTTATCCATGACTTTGGATATCCATGACTTGGGCATGCCCTTGAACAACTCTGAGCTTAAGTTTCCTCCAAAGCAAAGTGGACACATCTACCCAGAGGATGGACATAACAATAAAGTGAGCTGGATACACGGGGCACCTTGAATTCCGAAGTGCAATGCAAATGTAAGGACTGTATGTGGCTCTGATGAGTTCCTAATGTTAGCAAGTACTTGAACCAGGTGTTGCCACTCTGCCATTTGCCATAGGCCTCCAGGTCCCCCATCCTAAATATCTGATCTAGGGGAATCTAGACCAGGGGTCAGGAGGAAGAACCAAGTAAAAAAGCATTTTCTTACCAATTTCCACTTCCTTGGTTTCATTGTGCCGAGGAGCCTTGATTACTGGTAACTTAGAAAATCCTTGATTAACTTTAAATTAAAAACAAAAAAGGAGAATATAAGCATTAAGAGAGTATGATGTGATCAAACAAATCATATTTTCATATACTAACAATAATTCTCAAAATTTTGACAATAATATTTAGTAATATGCACAAATAAAAAATTTCATGTAATACATTTGCTGGTAATACCATGATGCTCTCTGACTTTTTAATCCTTTTCTATGTCATTAACACAAATGTTGCATTAACCCATTAAATTAATTGATGCTAATTTTTATTGGGGTAGTGTGATCAAGAACTATTGCAGGGGTTGATGCTTAATAGTGAGAGGGATGAAGAGAAATATGTTTTGGTGATGCTTATTTTATAACAATGGGACAATTGAAAACTTTCGGACAAAAACTTGTCTCCAGTATTGCTTTGACCCTAAGAAAATCTCCACTTAGAAAGTTTCTACTTGATCTGCACCTATGCATCAATCTGTGCTAAGGAGACTATGAAAAATTGTTTCTGATAAGGTATGAAGGTGAAGTCTTCCCCCAAAATGGGCTTTTGTAAGACTTAAAATACATTTGGAAAGAATTTGAAATAAGTATTTGACATCATTGAAGATATCAAAATCATTTCAGGACTGAAAACTAATCCACTATATCTGTATCCAACAGTTTACCTTATCACACTAAACCTTCTGTATCTGTGGACCCCAAAGTTACAAATTCAACCAAATGTGGACCAAAAATGTTAAGAAAAGATTGCTTATGTGATAAATATGCATAGACTTTTTTTTCTTGCCATTGTTTCCCAAACAATTTAGTATAACAACTACCTATAGAGAATTTACATTGTTTTAGGTATGATAAGTCATCTGGGAATGAGTACAGGTATAGGTAAAAATGAGGATAGGTGTGGATATACAAACAATGCATCATTTTGTATAAATGACTAGCTTCCTGTATGTTCATTACTAAGTGATCCTAAAACCAAATCCCTTTTCAATAAGTAATATGATCTCTTCCTGGACGTTTTTAGGTCTTGATGTATCAGGGAATTCCTGTAATACTACAGAATATGGAGAAGGAATCAGGAGGGAGTTGATGGAGGGGAATAGAGTGAAGGAAACTTGGCCATAAAAACTCAATAATTTCTTCTTCCTCTTTGCTTAAATCCACTCTTGTATAAAGGTCAGTGGCTTACCTTTAACTGTGAATAATCTGGTTGCTGTCACACTATAATTGACTCCATTCTCAGAGTGTACAAATTTACATGTATAATCACCTTCATCCTCACGTCGCGCATTGTCAATGACCAAAGATGACATGTGTGTCTTGTACCTTGATCCTTGAAGAGCTTTACAATTCTGAAATAAAAAATTACATTCCCACATCAGTCATTTTTCACTTTTCAATTTTACAAATGTTATCTATTTCTTTCCAAATTTCCACTTACCTTAAACCACTCAATAGGCACTGTCCAATTGTACATGTCAATTGTAGGACAGTGTATTCTGGCGTATTTTTCTGAGCCAGAAACGGTTGTGTACATCAAGTGATCTGGAATGTTGCAGTCTGGTTGCTTTTTATATATGGTGACATTCACATAGCCAGTCTTATTGAAGGTAGGACTATTAAAATAAGGCAGGTAATTAAAGAGTTACTTATGTTGCTTTTTTTTCTTTTCAAGAAAACTTATGGTGCTTTTTTCTTTTTTTATTGTGAAAGTACTGTACAGAGGGGTTACAATTACATGGGCAAGATAATGAGTACATTTCTTATCAAGCACTGTAGCCTCCTCAAAAATCTCAGGATTCAACTACATTTTTGTTACCCTTGAGATAAAACATAACCCTTATTCTTCATTCACTATGTCTGTTCTAAAGCTTGCTTCTAATTCTAAAAGATTACCAGTGTTTATTAAATGCTTACTAGTACTTTTCATGGAGGTAAGAATTTGTCATGGGTCCCTTCATTTTCTTCTCATAGCATTCTTAAAAAAAATACTGTTAGCTTTAGTTATAAAAAAGGAATTTCAATTCAAGATGTCAGCTCGTGAATATAATGTATCTTGATCAGTGTCACCCCTTTCTTCATTCTTTCCCATCTCCTCTAATCCCAGCCATCCCCTCCATTTTCCTAGTTCTTTTTCCACACGTGCACATTAAATACTATGGTTGTAGTCACCCACCCTTTCTCTTCATTCATCTACTCCCTTCTCCATGATCTCACTCCCAACCCCATCTCTGCACCCTTAACTTCCAGAGTCCTGGTAACTATTTTGTTAGACTATAAGCTAGTTGCTCAAATGAATTACACTATTGGAATTCTCCCTTGCATATACCACACTTTCATTGCGATGTTTGTGTATACATGCCTATAACCTCTTACAGCAATATTTTGAGATGGATTGTATTATGGTATGTATTAGACAGATGAAGAAACTGAAAGGTACAGAAATAACTTGCTAGAACTAGTGACAATCAGACCATGAATTTTAAACTGCCTGGCCTCAGAACCTCTGCACTAAAGAATACCCAGTTTCCCTTTCTATGTAGTTTATCTGATGCTTTATGAGTATTAAATAAAGGCAGGAAATCAAATTAGGTCAGAATGTCTATACAGGCTGAGTGTTTTGTGCACAGAAGCTGCTGTAGCCTACCACTAAGGTTTTGGATCTAACCCAATTTTCCCCACCATAGAACTCAATGGTCAGATGTCTATGTTATTGATTTTGAAGATAGTTCGATTGAAGAGTATGGTGAAAATACCTTCGGATAATGCACGAATAAATGCCAGAATCATCCACTTTGGCAGGCAGAAACTTAAGACGATCTTCTGAAGCAAAGACACGATTTCTTTTCTGTGTGGGAATACTTTCATTTGTTTTTAAGTAATACCAGTCCACAGGGTCAGGGAAATCTCTATTTTTTGGACACTTCACAATTAAAGCCTCATTTTCCAGACCCCAGAATGGCTTACCTGCAAATACAAAATACAAATACAATCCTGAAATTATCATATGGAAAGATCATGAGTCGTATGCTTTTTGATATTTCATCTAGGAATATTTTGGGGGGGGGGGATCCAGTCGTGGGGTTTGAACTCTGGGCCTGGGCGCTGTCCCTCAGCTCTTCAGCTCAAGGCTAGCACTCTACCACTTGAGCCACAGCTTCACTTCCGGCTTTTTTCTTTTTGCTTATGTAGTGCTGAGGAATTGAACCCAGGGCCTCATGTATGCAAGGCAAGGGCTCTACCACTGAGTCACCTTCCCAGCCCCCTAGGAATAAAATTTTAAATGAGTAATATATCATGATACTTTGAGAAAGGATAAACAATTAACCTATTTTATGAGTTGTTCCACAGAGTACACAGATTACTAAATTAATTTAGCTCTAAATCCCAATTCTACTCCAAGGGGAAAGTAGCTAAGTCTAGCTGAACAATTCATTGTCACTCAATAAACACCTCTATTATTTCCTATGTACAGGCCACAGAATGTATTTGATATGTTTGAATATGTAAATATAAAGTTGTAATGTATTATAAATTTAAAGTTATCATATGCATTTTTTGTGGAGAGTTCCTTCCAATAGATTTGGGATGAAGGACAAAACAATAAACTTTCAGTTAAAAAAAAAATCCAGATGGCAATCCAGAGAGTTTCAATTTGGGAACTTGGCAGTTTCTAACTGGAAGCTAAGAGTTGAAAACAAAGCAGATGTTCTTGGAATTATTTCATGAATTTAAATTGAAAAGTAATACTTACTACTCTTAGCCGCTGTGGTGAAACATACGAGAATCGCTAGAATTGTCAAGATCCCAAGTCCCATACTTTATGGATCAAGAACAAGCGTTGGCAAGTGGTTGCTGAGATGTCAAATGAACCATTGACACTGATAGGGAAGAGCTCCTCTCTGAGGTTGACGTTGCTGCCTAAGACGTAAAACTGGAAATGGTGTTAGTGTCTCTCCTGAAAAATAAATCAAACAAAATCACAAGCAAAATATTTATTTGGCCGTGATTTTTTACTTACTCAAGACCACCCAGGAGAATCAATCAACACTTAATTATTATGTACATATATACACAGCAGCAGGTTTGAGACATACACTACTGCATTATTCCTACTTGAGACTGGAGATGGGATACAGTCCTCACAACAAAAGCACTGTTTCACAATTATGTTTTACCAGTCTTGTATTCTCAAAGAAGCTAACTTAAGATGAAAAATCTGGGTAGGAATTGACGGCTCATGTCTATAACCCTACCAACTCAGAAGATTTGAAATCTGAGGACCACAGATCAAAGCTAGCCTGGGAAGGAAAAACTTCAAGACATTTTTTTCCAATTAACCACTGCAAAGTCACTGTGGCTCAAGTGGTAAAGTGCTAGCCTTAAACAAAATAGCTAATATACAGTGCGCAGGCCCTGAGTTTAAGCCCAAGTATTAGTAGTACGAGAGAGAGAGAGAGAGAGAAAAAGAGAGAGAGAAAGAGAGAGAGAGAGAGAGAGAGAGATGCACTTTCATTTCTGAAATTTTAAAACCTAAAGTTTCAGACTCCAGAAAAGGCAACAACCACAGGCTGGTTACAGCATGCACATGTATGTTAGCTTACACCTAAGCATGCATGAAAATAAATCATTACCAAACTAAAAAGGAAAAAAATCATCACCAAACCATGAAGCAAAGAAAAAATGAGAATCAAAGCATTAGCCAAATATTTCTCTGAGACTTTTCCTCACATCAAAACTGTCCCTGCCAGAGCTTCATCCCTAGAGTCACCAAAGGTTAAGAATTCATGAATGTCTGTAAATAATTACATCTTTTTTTTCCTTTTCATTAAAAGACTCTTTTACTAAACCTTTGTTCTAAAACCAATAGAAGAGGGATCAAACCAACATAGAAATACAAATACATAACTATCTTCAAGAAAGCATGTATCTTAAATATGAATCACTGATACTTCTCTTATTCCAACCCTAAGATAATTACTGATTGCTTACCCACAAGGAAAGACAGAGAAAATAAGGCTGGAATCAATGACTGAACCAAAAATAGTTCTTGCCTTTGTTGCCGGTCCTTGGAACTGGAACTGGAAAATACACTCCCTCTTCTGTTTTAAATCTCCAATGTCATCTTCCAATTCGCCATCCTACCCACGTGGGATCCATGACTTATTAAAAAAATACTCATGTATCATGTAGTAGAAATTCTTGAGCTTGCTACATAAATATTTAAATGTAAGACATTGTCTAACCCCTTTCAGAGGAACAACTTAAATCATTTCCCTCTGTTTTTGTCTTTTCTACTCAAACTGAATAATAAACAATACTTGATGTCTCGCTCCTTGATATTTGAACACTGCTGGCTCCAAATGATCTTGATATCATGGGACCTTTCAGTTATCCTGCCAGATGATCTCCAACTTCTCTTTTCGCTGACAGAACTCAAGAAGGCCTCTTTGGTGTGGCTAATTTCAACAAAGATGCAGGAAGTGAAGGACAAGTTATCAGGACACCAAGAGTTCTTGGAAATGTTCTGTCTGTAGTGCAGAATGTGATGCCTACTCATCCCCAAACAAGAGCCAGCTCCTGATCTTAATCCCACTAAGACTATCAGCCTTTTTTTTCCTTTTTCTGGCTTGAAGTTTTATGTGTAATTCATTTGCATTTTTAATGTTATTGTTAAGATGATGTACAGAGGGATTACAGTTACATAAGCCAGATAAAGAGTGTATTTCTTTTTGAACAATGTCACCCTTTCCCTCCCTCTCTTCTAGTTTTTTCCCTCCTATCCCTACCCACAAATTGTATAGTTCATTTTCAACATACTGTCTAGTGGTTAACACTCTACTTCTGGATTTTTGATGGTTAATTGGAGACAAGTCTCATTGACTTTCCTGAATGGGTCAGCTTTGAATTGTAATGCTAAGATGCCAGCCTCCCAAGTAGCTATGATTATAGACATGAACCATTGCTACTGATGACTTCAGACAAGTAGAGGGAGACTGTGAATAAGAAATTTCCAGGCAAGTGCCAGCAGCTCACACTTGTAATCCTAGTTACTAAGGAGGCTGGGATTCAAGGATAGAGTTGGAAGCCAGCCCAGGAAAGAAAGTCCTTAGACTCTTTTCTCCAATTAAGCATCCCAACAGCCAGAAATGGGAGCTATGGATAAAGAAGAAGAGCACTAGCCTTGAGCAAAATACTTCAGATATAGCACCCAGGCCCTGAGTTCAAACCCCAGGACCGGCACACACACACAGAAATAGAGAGTCAGAGACAGACAGAGGAGAGAATGAAAGAGAAAGAAAGAGAGAAAAGTGAAAGAGAAACAGAAAGAAGAGAGAAGGGAAGAAAGAAAAGAGAGAGAGAGAAAGGGAGAAAGGGAAAGAGAAAAAATTTTCTCACCAAAGGAGAGACAAAGAAAACTAGAACCTCAGCTTTTGGACACCATTAAAACAAATGTGAATGGTAAAATTGATCTTATGAGTTTATTATGCATAAACTCAAATTAATTCTAAATGACCATGGACAGGAAAGATGCAAGAACCAGCTCCAAAGCAGCACAATAATAGGACAATAACTGCTGAGAACTTCCTCTCCAGCCTATACAGTTTTAAATGTCTCTTCTCTATCACTTCTTCACTCTCAATATCACACAATGATAAGACACTGATATCATTAACCCCACTGTATAGATAATGACACTGAGCCACAGAAATTATGTAAGCTGCTAAAGCTGAGTGGCCGAGTCAGAATCTGAACCCAGATTGGTGCCAACCACAATTAATCACCAGATCAACTGCTGTCAGCTATGAAAAACCAGAAGTGGGGTGCTGCCCATAAGGAATTCTGGGCCCACTTTTCTAGCTAATTTCCTACAGCATCTTCCCTCCCAGCCTCCTTCCTATCCTGCCCTCCCATTGTATCTGGGGCCATTTTTGACATCTCTCATTTGCCCAGGGAGCTGCTAAGTCAGCACTAGGACGTGCATGACAAGCTATGCCCATTTCTCTGGAGAACACCCTCTTTTCAGACTCTAACAATTCCCTTAGCAAAACAAAATTATATTAAGTGAAGTAAGCCAGGCCCAAAGAACATAGCGCCCATGGTTTCCCTTATTTGCAATAACTAGTATATGTCTGGGACAAGCAGAAAAGGTCAAAAGCTATATACATATGACCAGATAAGATGATGTTAAGCGAAATGAACCCCAAGATAGGGACACAAGTAGTTGTTTTCTTTCTTGCTATTGTTTCTAACATATTTCTAAGGTACCATGTGATTTTTTTGTTGTATGTTCCTCCCCCACGGTATAACCCTGTTTTCACTGTATTTGATATCGGTATAATTTGGGGAGGGGAGAAGAAAAACAAATGTTTGAATAGGGTTACAGGTGGACCCATTGTAACAATGAGATGTACAAGACACTTGAAAAACGAACGTTACAATTTAGGTGGTGGGGGGAGTATAGTTAAGGAGATGGGAAGGAAGGGATGGTAGGGTAAAAACAAAGGAGGAGGCAACAATGCTTGATAAGAAATGTATTCATTACCCTGCTAATGTAACTGTTACCCCTCCTCTGTACAGTATTTTCACAATAAAAAACTTACAAAAATAATAAAAATGTTATCTAATAAAATCTAACCTAATTTGGCCCTACTCCCCTGATTAGGGGAGTTTACATTAGGGGAGTTTAATTTCTAATCTACTCCTCTGACATTTCCATTAAAAAGTAAATTAAATTGACTAACCATTTCCTTACCATCGGCTTTGGTCTGTAGTATTTAAATACGCTGTGTCATAAAGGATATTATGCAAAGCTTGTTCCTTTGGCTTGGCATTGTCAGAGGGAAGCTGTGAATGTGTTAATATTTCTGAACTGGCCACTTTTGTCCTGTTCTTACCATTAACACATCTCAGAAGCCAAGGATGTTTGGTGACATTAAACATTTTTTTTCTTCTTTGGCAGCATAGAATTTGAATGCAAGGATCTTGTACTTATTACATAGGTACTCTCTCAGTTGAGCCACACTTCTTGGACTTTATGTATTTGTTTTTCAGATAAACTTTTTTTCAGATATTCAGATTTTTTTCAATTATTTTTCACATCCTTCCCTTCCCCTGTCCAGACCCCAACCGTGACCCTCTTACCCATTGCTCCTCCAGAGTTAGGATTATAGGTGTGCCCTACTACACTTGGAATGTCAGTTGTGATGAAGTCTTGCTCCCTTTCTTTGCCTGGGCTAGCTTTTAAATGAGATCCGATTTTTGCCTCCCACATTGCCTGGATTACACCATGCCTGCCATCCTCACAGTAAACTTAGATGCATTTTTCATGGGCTAGTTATTCTCACAAGACAAGCAAAGGACAGAACATTTTCCCTTCATTTAATTAAAGATCTCTTTAGTTGTGATCCTTCTCTTTTCTTAACAAAAGCGTATGTAGTACCTACATCCATCAGTAATAGAACATGTGGTGTTTGGTAGCCTGGCTCATAGGAAAAGTACTATCTCCTGGATTCTATGCTACACTCTAGGACCACTCAATCAGAACTGCTCCAGATGTGATTCTTCCTTCTCTCCCTCTTCCTACCTCTGCCAAAATTCAGAAGCAACTGGTACATGTATAAGGCCAAACAAGAACAAAGCATTGTTATTATGCTGTTTGTTTTGACTAGTATGAGGGCTTGATCTCAGGACCTCAAGCTTGCTAGCCTGGCACAATAACACTGAAGCCATGGCTCTACACAGATTTTTCCTGCTTATTCTGGAGATGGAGTCTCACAGATTTCTGCCCAGGATGGCTTCAGACATCCACCTTTGT